TACATCTCTGATCGATATTCTCGCTGGAAGTGATGATTCAGATGATGCTGCTAAGGGCAGTGGGACTGAACGGCACACATCCATTGATGAACCACAACCGTGTTCTTCGGGTTATCACAACCGTAAGCATTTAAAAGCGATTCCTCACACACGCACGATTACCCGCATTGAAAACAGTTGCAAGTGTCTAATCATCTATTCGGGTCATTGTGCTAACCTTATATGATATTGTTGGATCAAGCATTATCCGAAACATCAGCTTCAGATGAATCGGATGACGATCAATCAAGCGAAGATTTTTCCCAAGTGGACCAATCAGACGATGATGAAGTTGACTGGAAAAAAGGCGATTGGTCCCAGGATCCCAATACAGCCAATTTTGATAATGTTCGTTTGCAAGCCTTGTAGCCAATTTCGCACAGTTTTTCGACGATGACATTTTGAAACTTATAGTTACCCAAACTAATATCTACGCAGACCAACAGCAAAGTCGACAGTGGGAACCGGTATCTGAAGCAGAAATCAAAGCTTTTCTAAGGATTACCATTATGATGGGTCTCAAGCCTCTTGCAAGTGTTGATTTGTACTGGTCAAGTGATCCATTTTTCCGTACGGACGAAATTGCTTCCATTATGCCGTGCAAGAGATTCGAAAAAATCTTAGAGAATTTGCATCTGAATGATAATCGTATGATGCCTCCAAGGAATTCAGATCATTTTGACAAACTGTACAAGATTCGTCCACTTCTTGATTTACTGAACACTGCATGCCAGAGAGCAGTACAGTCCACATCATCGCAATCGATTGATGAATCGATGATTCTGTTCAAAGGGCGATCGACATTGAAACAATCTATGCCACTAAAACCTATCAAGAGAGGCTATAAGGTGTGCACAAGAGCCGACAGTGAGACTGGTTACGTATTTGAGTTTGATATTTATACTGGCAAACGCGATGACAAGTCTCCTACTATAGGCCTAGGGGCCAATGTAGTCAAGAATCTAACGCAGAAACTCGCAAATTGATGAAGGATTTCAAGGTCATGTGACCTTCGATAGTTTCTTCGCCTCATACGGTATGTTACAATACTTATATAATCATGGAATTTATACAACGGCTACAGTGAACAAATAGATCGGACCTACCTGTACTACTAAAAAAGTACAAAAGAAAGTCCCAACCGAAAAGGCGAAAGCGTTTCCTGAGAGGGGAGTACAAGTGGCGTTTGAAGAAAAACGTTGCTTTTGTAATGTGGCAAGATTCCAAAATGGTAACAATGTTGACTACAGCATTCCATCCTAAAACCGTGACAGCTACGTGTGAAAGGAAGCAACATGATGGTACCAGAAAAACCATCGTATGTCCGAAAGCGGTTCAGGAATACACAAAGCGGATGGGCGGAGTTGATCGGTTTAATCAAAAGAGAAGCACGTATGGGGTCGGTAGAAGAAGCCAGAGGTGGTGGCTGTGGATTTTCAATTTCTGCATTGATTTGGCTATTACGAATGCATACTTGTTGTATGCATCTAACAACCATGTGCGAAATCACGTGACTCAGCTGCAGTTCAGGTTGAAGTTATCACGAGACCTTGTTGGTAACTATACTTCGAGGAAGCGCAGCCTACAAAGCGAACCAAGATATTCTACAAAGAAGCCTACAATGTCTTCAAACTATCAAAAAGAAGGAGTACTAGATAATCTACGCTTTTCAGATGTTGGAAGTCATAAACTGGAACAGTTGGGTACCTATCGTCGTTGTCGCCTATGTAGTACAAAGGCTAAAAATAAGAGGTCCAAAATTCAATGTTCCAAGTGTAAGGTACCACTTTGCGCAACACCTTGCTTTGATTTGTTTCACGTAAAACTTAATTGAAATTGATCTATGTCTATCTTACAATTCGTTCCAAAAATAAAGTGCACCTGCATGGCAGTGGCAAAGATATTGCCACCAATATTGTTGCGCTAGTAAGGCAGTGGCAAACATATTGCCACCAAAGTTTCTGGACTTCGAAGGCAGTGATAGTTGCCACTATTTTTTTCAAGTTTTTCAACTATTTTTTCCAAACAAAAAATATATTTGTGCTTTTGACCGAGTAAGAATTGTGTTTTATTGTAGTTTTTGTTGATTCCTTGCTTGGTTTTCACGGCCTTATAAAGGGTTAAATAGCAAAATGAGCGACAATGGCCAATTACCAACATTACACCTTCAGTAACTTTTTTCTCCCACGGTAAAATTTTTTGACCTCATACCAACTTTTTCTTTCTCAATGATACCTTTCGAATGAGATATCAGTCATTGATGTATATTCTTGGACCAGTCTCCATACGTTTTTGCCCAATCTCCTTTACCCTCTTCTTCTAACCCTCCATGTAAACCCTTGAAAAAAAAATTACGCCAGAATTTTTTTATATGCAACACTGTGGTGCTCTTTTCACTTAAAAATTATTTTGAAGTTTGTTCCTTCATGCACCTTTGTGGTGCAATTTTCAGGCACCATGTCAAAGCAATTGACGCAATAAAAGGTTTTCAGTGCCCTTATATTATGAAATGAAGTTATTTTACCTTCAAATCAAGTTAACAAGAAATCAAGTTATGTTTTATCATAATTTTGTAAATGTGTAAATAAAACTCTTATTAAAAAAAAAAGGCCCCACCCTGTGCACGCCAGTGCAGACATTGCATATAAGGCAGTTGGTCAGTAAATCCACTTGCAGAATTTTTGCTTTTAAAAAATTGCTTGAGTTAACATGAGGAGTTTTTGAAAACTTTTTCCCTTACTATAAAACAAACAAAAAAAAATGTTCCGATGTCGAGGAGTCGATTGGTATATGACCCTAGACCCTCGGACCCCTGTATGTATATTCTTCTTTGGAAGAAAGGTAAAACATGCTCCACATTGGAGTTGATTTTGTATTGTATTGTATTGTAGTCACTAAAATTATGATTCTAAATCAACATAACTCACTGCTTCATTCTATACGAGCAACCTATTGAACGCGCAGTTCATTGAGATAGCACATAAATAAAAGAATTAAGTGTCCTTTATCCATTACTTCATCTTACTTTCTCCCCACAAATAAAATAAAATCCCAGACCGGCAACTAATCCTGTTAACGATGTGAAAACGCATTAGCGAGAATGATGTTCCCCTCCGTTTTTTTTTTTCATTGCATGCAAACCAGTACAAGGGAGAGCTTGAATTATATACTCTCTATAATTTTATGATGCATTCATTTACACCTCCCTTACCCTGCGTGTTCTGCAGCGGCCCTATTTCTCAATTGTAATAGATAGTGCAATATGAATTACAGTTGTGATGCGAATGAACCAGAGAAGCAGTTGTCGGACCCCAGTCAAATGTACCAAAGAGTTTGCGGGATTTACAAGTGGCACTTTTCTCACGGTTCTAAATACCAAAAATACACTAACGCTAGAGCTGCTCAATCTGACTGAGTGCATTTCGATGCTATATTTTCAACTTCACTTCACCGGTCTAATGGTTATTCACCCGGCATCTATTTGAGCTAAAAAAAAATTAAATACGTTTGAAGGTCACAAACAGCTTTGCCCAACTAACAATTTTAGCTGCAGATAAGCTTATACAGCCAAAATTTGCCTTATGCAGCTAATTTTTGCTTGTACAAGCTGGTCGGCAGCTAAAATTGTTTGTTGGGTGTTTCCACAGCCTTGAAATGAAGATAAGCTGAATTTTCCGAAGTCTCCGATGTTAACCCATTAGGAGGAGTTTTAGTAGTCTAAAGTAAAAGCTCTATTAGCTTTCTTGCTGTCTCTCTTTGCTATTTGAGAAAATCGAGAATCATCAGGGGACCCATATATATATTCATCTGAGTAGCCTCCTTGGTTGTGTTGTGGGGCCTATAAAATAAATTTCAGAGTTAAAGTGCTATGCTACGGTTGGAGACGACGTGGTTTATATAACGGTAATTCCTCTCACAAGCATGTGCAGCAGGGGGAGGGGCAGTGGTGTCAAACTCGCTGTATATTACGTAAATAACATTTAGACTTTTTTGTCACCCCTTCTGCGCACGCTTTTCCTTTAATCTGTTGAACCGTCATTCCTAATTAGTAAATGTAACTAATTTACTAATTACGTTTCCTTCAGCGCACTTGATTTGATCCCAATTCACACGATTGATGTTCGAATGATAATGAAAGTATAATTCACATAATCAAATTTATTAGCTTTAAAAACGAATGTTAAATGTACAAACCTAACAACAAGAAACAACATATATAGCAACAGGTATGGGCATGAAGATCGTAACATTAACACGGTTTTGAAATAAATCTGTTACTACAAGTGCACTTCCATTGTTTCTATAAGTACAAGCTATACAGAAAAAAAAAACAACTAATAAATATCAGTCAAAATGCTGCAAAGAGGAAAACAAGCTGGTCATATTTTTTGCGCATATCTTCGTCATCGTTTCAGCTTGGCACGAGGAAGGAAGGTTTAAAATTGTAACTACGCTTTCGGCCTGCTGGAAACCAACATCACGTGCACTTCGCGTTTACTTTACCTCAACTTCTACGTCTGCTCGTACCTCGATTGTTTCCCTACGTGCGAACATAATTGGAAAGCAATAAATTAATAACTCACAACTGAACCGGTGTGTGGCTCAGCGGTCGTCAGTTCCTTTTTGCCGTGGGCCTGAAGGTCTTACACAATGCGAACCGAACCAAAGAGAGTTTACATGCAAATAATTCTGTTTAACAAGTTTTGTTTTCTGATTTTTTTTTTTCTCTGCCCGTAGGCAATTTCCTCCAAAATCACATCTTTTTTCATATAGCTATTTAAACTTTTTTTTTTTTATATTACCTTCAGGGCTGACACATGTAAAAAGCAATGATGGTTGATGGTAAACGAAACAACTTACAATAACGTAAAATGAGTTTAGTTATTGTAATAACACTAATTTAATTATTTGCTGCCACGCTTCTGGTGTAAATGACTGTTCATTACCACACACTGTTCTCCGGAATGTTACTGATTTAAAATGTGACACTTCCAACACCAACGGTACGTGGTGCCTTATACTTGTGAACGATGGTTTTGATAACAGGGACTTTCACTGGGTATGGCTGGGGTATGTGCACTGGGACGTGTTTTTCCACTGGATACGGGACTGGCTTCTCTATTGGCACGGGTACTCTTTTCTCCACTGGATACGGAACGATCTTTTCGATTGGTATGGTTATCTCCCTGATGACTGGTACCTGTGTGAAAAGGAAGATAAATATCAATATGGTATGATTTTAATTTACGTTAGTGTACGAGTTTACTGTAATTTTTAAAACATTTCACTCTATTTTAATGCAGAAAAATATCAAACATGTATTTAAATTGAGGCTTATTCTATTTTCTATGAAGAATATAGCTTCATCATTAATCTTTCTCCTCAATAGGATGGTGCGTAAAAAAGCCAACAACGTGTTCAAGATAGAATCTCTGGTATACATTTTAAAGAAACTCAAGTAAATTTCAGAGCTCTAAGACCAACATATGCGAGCACCATTTGGAACATAACACTCAAGCCATCAAGTCTCTTAGACATAAAATTCAGCTCAATCAAACTCATTTTCCCACTGTTCTTCAGCGTTTCAGGCTCACTATTATTTCAACCAATCACCCCTCACTTTGACGATTGGCTTTTACTCAGGTTTATAGCTGTGTAAGTAGAGGGCTTTGATTTATAAAACATACAGTGCTAATATTTCAAAGGGGCGTAATTGCGTTTGTATACAATGGCTTTAGCCTAATAAACAATGCTAGCTGGTAGAGGAAAGATTTCTCTACCGGTTGGTGTCCTTAATTTTCACAATTTTCGACAGCTAAAGTAATTGCTTAGAAAATACAACAATGTTGACACTTATATTTTCTAGCTGTCTAAGTGACAGATTATTTTTATTAACAATTCTCCCGTCGCTTTTCAATAGTTCATATTTACATTGATCGATTTTCTTCATCAACTTTCTCCTTCGTTAATAACTCAGTAGCGAAAACATGATTTGTTATGTTTGACTTCTTTCATCAAACTGTGTGGCGAAAATAGCACGAAATGTGTTGGACTGGTCGTGGTAATTCTAAAAGAAAAACGATGAAGAGAATCGAACAATGCAGATAGGACCTACTGAAAATTGATGCAAGAATTATTCAGTACACGGCTCAATAGGGGTTAATGATACTTACATTATAGTAGTAGGTCTTTTTCCTTAATCAAATGTTATCTAGAATTTGTCAAATAATATAAATACCATAACAAAGAATTTAAACTAATCAAGATTTGAATAAGCCAATTTTTAGCTGAGAAGCATATGAAAAGCTCTTATTCAGCTTTCAAAGTTTGTTGGGATTATTGACCTGTACAACGATGAATCCCAGATAAAATTGTCTCACATTTTACAGTGGATGTTCAATTCTGTTAATTTGGGAATATAATTCTTTCATAAACTATGATATTCTCTTTAGACAAATTATGCGGTGTCATTCATTCTATGCTGGTACACAATCGATGAGGCTGACCACCTTTTCGTGGAAAACATGCAATGGTCCATTTCCGTCTGCAGCGGAATTTCAAGCTAATCGAGACCGCTAATTAAGCACGGGATATACTGCCGTTATACGCATAAGAGTCCCACGGTACATAAGAATTGCATAGAACATGGGACAGTTATGCGTATAACGGCAGTATAACACATAGAAATAGAAACGGTCATGGCGTACCTCTCACGCCAAAGTCACGAGTTCAAATCTTCTCCAGCAGTTACGATATCTTAACTGGCTTGCCCAACCCCATATCCCACCAAATTCTACCCGGAGATATCACCACCTCAAAGCATTCGAATTTTATAGTCAACCTCTGAAATGTTGCAATTCTACAAGCTTAAAAGTTTTTTTTTTTTGCTTTATTATGGAGACTTTCAGCCTGTAGCTGGTTCGTCTCTTAACATTTAATTTTTAAGCTTAAAAGTTGTGCTTGATCAACCTTCTGTTCCATTTCCCGACCCTTCATTCAATAAATCTGGAACGGTTTCTATCTCAAACATTATTGACTCAGCTTAAAAATCTCTCAATCGCTCGTAGAACCGACGACCAAAACACAAAGTATTACCTATTCACTCTTTTTCTCCTTATGCAGGTTAAATTCCTCGAACCATAATAAATTGAACCGGTGTCTCTGAAAGAAAAGATTTAAAAAAAATCAGTATTGCAGAAACACTCTCCAAACGAAATCTTGGGTTTACCCCTTGATATGAGGTTGGTATCGAAATGTTTTATCCCGTCCAAACATAGCTATTTATGCAACAAAGTTTCAAAAAGAAGATTTTTTCAGTAAGAGTCCTTGTTTATCCAACGGGGCTAACCGAGTTGGATAATTATGATGATTGCTGAAAAAAAAGTTTTGTGCAACGAGTTGTATACATTTTTTTTTTTCAATTCCACTTCATAATATCTATTTTCCATCACGCAGCAGAGTAGCATAATGGCCTACTTTTCCTAACTAAAAGAGGCGTGCGCAAAAGTTATTTTTCCGCACTCAAAAGCATGCGGAAAAGAGTGGTAGTAGCTAAGTGCTTGAAAATTTGTGACAGTCATAGTTCATAACCTACTTGATCAGATAGCTTTGATCATACGTATGGAGTTAAAACTGCATTATATACAGATACAAGCAATTGACACACAAAGGGTATAGCCTCGTTGGATAATTGAACGACTCGTACTGAAAAAATGTTCAATAAAACTTTTTGGCACTTGGTACTGAAAAGTAGCACTTTCCGATACTATTATTTTAGATAGGAAAAGTAGACCATTGTGTTATTCAGTGTCTAAAGTGACAGTTCTCAGCACTGAGCGCCAAAAAATAGTGTATAAGCCTAAAACATGTATGACAAAATAAACCCCGATAAAACATTTTGATAGCAACCTTAAATGAAAGAGGAGCATCTTAGAGTTCGATTGGTGAGTATTTTAGAGATGCTGATTTTATAGTATGCCCGGCTTACATTTATGCTAGTTAACAAGAAGTAATATTTTTTCTGCTGATAATGAGCAGGAACTAAAAGGCCGTCAGATCCAGATCTGACGCGATGTGGCAAAATGACAACTAAATCTAACTGTCAAATTTATATCAACGCAACGTAAACGGATCTAATGTGGGTGGCCCTTAAGTGTTGACACAATGCGAGCAGCTGAACATGCTGAAAAAATGTCAGTCAGCTTGCGAATGTAGGGGTGGCGGAGACTGGCGTGCTGATAAAGTCAGTTGCTGAAAATTTTTACATCATACTGATTGCCATGTTTGCTAGCAGCTATTATTAACCGGGCGTTAATAATGTTTTTTTTTGCAAGAGACACCATGCCTAAGATAGTCAAAAACTCCGCCGACTTACACATCTTTGGTAATGATCGAATTTATATCCAAATCAAACATCGCATCGAACAACCAAAACAAAATAAAATATTTTGCCAGATTTTATTCTTTATGAAAAAAGCTTACTGAACTATAAAAACTTCAAATATTTAATCGAAGGGACCCTAATACAATTTCCTGGGGCGCTCCAAGGTTATTTTCAACGGGACCAAAACCAGATTTATAAATTTAAAAAAAAATCAGTTCAGATCTGTCAGAATGTTTTGCGCACCATTAATATACAGTACAAACAATTTCAAAGCCTTTGATTGTTTTAACAATAAGGACCATGCACACATTTACTTTTTAGATAATCCAACAGCTTTTAAAGGGGAAAGGGAACGTCAATAGTTTTTGGCAATTCAAAAGTAGTTTTTTTTTGTTTAAAACCGAAATGATGTCAATGAAAATGTGTCAACTGTGTTCCGGTAAGCAATTAGTAATGCAATAAACACGTTTTCATTGACTTAATTTTGGTTATGAACGAAAAGACAGTTTTTGAATTTTTGAAAATTAATGACGAACTGGTTCTACAATTTGCTCTACTGTATTTTGAACGCGAGAACACCAAAATAACTTTTGCAAACATCAACTACTCAAGCAGTTATCTCTAATGAAAAACAAAGATTTTTTCTTTCTCTAACGTAGTTTCAAAAATCACACAAACTCTTAAAAAAAACTGTTAAAAACTTACTGCTACAGGTTGCGCTACAGGAATATGAACAGGATACGGCTGTGGTACCGGCACCAAAACCGGATGTGGAATATGTACCTTCACTCCCTTAGGAATCGGCACGTGAATTTTCTTCACATAATGTACAGGTACTGGCTTCTCTACCTCAATGTGTTGGCTAATGGGGATGGCCTTCGCCTTGGTGTGAATTACTTTTGGTGATGTGTACCTGCTTCCGTAATCCTCATCTTCATCGCTATATTGCCTACCCTTGTTTGTGGATGAGGGTTCTTTTGACGAGTGAATGATACTGTATGACTGCAGGATCGGGATAATCGATTTCTTCTTATAATATCCCGAACTGCTACTGACATAATTTCCCTTCTCGTCACTATCTTCATCACTTTCATTATCTATACCACTGGGCGCCCTATGTCTTGTTGAAGTAGAATAGGATGTCATGAATCCAGGATTAGTTGAGTGACCTGAAGATGAGTGGCCATAACTACTGTGACTAGCAGAAGGTTCTGTGTCATAGTCTTCATTATCAGCAAAATTAGTCAAATCCAACGGCCTATTTCTCATACGATATTCTTCTTCAGATGGTCGGTACGAAAAAACATATTTTCCGAGAATTCTAGCAGGATCTGGTTCAGGAACAGGATCCGCACGAGTCACAAGGGCACTAAGAGCAAGAAAAGCCAACTGCAAACCAATAACACGTAAATTATCCACTATCATTTTTATATGCTTAGGTTTTTTGAAAAACAAACTCACTTGTGGTATCATTTCTCTCCACTCGCATCAGCTTCAGAGTCTTATTTGGTTGTTCAACACAGTTATTTTCAAAAGCACTTCCCACAAAATACCAACACCTTTTTCCGACGATCCTGATCCAAATTTTATCCGACTTTGATAGTCTTCCGCGCCCAACCGCAGTAATCGTCAATGGTCACACACAATGTAGTCCAGCTGTTGACGGGGTGGCGTTCGATCGTGAAATAAACAACACCATTTCACCGAAGGCAACATTTATATTAAGAAAAACAGATATTAGTTACAAACTTCGGCAGCAGTTGGGCGCTTGGACTTGGCGCGAACAACCGCATGAAAGAAAATGAGCCAATTACAGGTAACGATACCATCCATTCGATGGAATTCATGCCTCAAACGATACCGAAAGGGCTGACTGAGGGTAACTGAATGAATCCGACCAGTGCAAAAGCAGTTGCGATCAATGGCATACGGGTGAAGCGGGGTGAGCGGTAGGGTAATATTGAATTAGCTGAAATTGAGCTTGATAAGATCTTAGCATAATCATTGTAACGTTGCATTTATGCTTTAGTTTCACTGCTATGGATCTCAAAATTAATATATTTTTATTATGTAAGAGAATACAACTAGATGACGACTCTTGACAAGATTGTTCTCTTTCAGGCAGTTCAAATTGCGTTCAAAAATTATAAAAGTCAATCCTTTTCATTCTCACAGTCTTTGTGTAAAGTTTCACCATTTTCGCTTTTCAAACGACGGTCTATTCCCTTTTCTTTAAATCAAAAATCAAAATCGACCTCAAGTGCTTCCGAAGAAAAATAGGCGGTTGAAAGCTTATCGACGAGATAGAGATAAACGGAACATTTTACGTTTGATCGATAATGTTCAGGAATGATTGAATTTGATTATTTACCTGTCAGTTAGGCTGTGTTCCGTTTGGTGAGTTTTCTCTTAATAAATTATAATGTTCAAAAATCTCCTATTTCTTGATCGGCATATTGCGAGTAGATGTTTGTCAAAATTGAGTCCATGTCTGTCAGAAATATGTGCGCTGGAATAGCAGGTTTATTTGAAAATATTTCAAATTTTAAGTGAAAATTTTCAAATTAGAACATAGCTTTAGAGTGACTATGATAGTGACAATTTGTTGCGATATCTCTTTCCTTTTGCGGTACGTTTATGGAATGTTATGAGGGTATCGTAAACATTTGGATGATCTGAAGAAAGGCCCCAAACTTCTTCCGAGCTGTCGAACCGAACCACTTTTTTTCGATCCTCAAATGATTAGAAGAATTACAGTCAATCAATATGAACATTATTCAAGTTATTCTCGAATAATTGTATTTATGAAGGGATGCTGTGATATTGTGAGCCACATTTTTTTTTTCAAAATCATCAAAATTATGTATCTAATCTCTTTGATCAGCGGGCGCCAGTTCAATCTCAGTTGGCACCGCCGGGATGTTCTGAGGCATAACATCTCTGATCACGGGAAGTAAAGCCGTTGGTCCCCGGTGCATGAGTTGATGGGTCGATAGGTATGACCCAGGTGAGGGAGCTGCCTCCCTGACGTCAGTAACATTGGTGCTCAGCACGGAAAACAAATCAAGGAAAAAAAATCTCTTTCATCGAAAAATGATTCATTTTGCTTCTCCCTTTACTTTCAAGAATTTACGAATGTAAACAAACAATCAAAGAGTCACGGTTTGGCTTTTCACGAAATGCAGTTTTTTTTTTATGCTTGCTACCAACCGATGAAGATGAATCGATATTTTCAGTGCTGCCGCCGTTGAAAATAAAAATCTCTACGCATCACGGTTAAAATAAAAGATCAACGCAAAAATGAAAGTTCACCTCTTGAAAAAAAATCCTGAACAAGAAACAGGGACTTCCGATAGTCAAGTTTGCAAATTTCTTCACATCTCTAGGTTTTCAATATAATAACTAATACACCTTCCCTTTAAATGAGTGTGAAATTCTAATTGCTGAAAAGTTATCAACTGTAGATGTTGAAAATCTTTTGCAAAGCTCGTGATGTCGCAACTCGACTGCAATTAAATTTATATTTAATGATTTCCCTAGTAAACTACGCTGTGATTACAAATAAGCTTTTTACTGGTGACAAAATCAATCAATGAGGATTTGAATACAGCTTTGATGCTTAGTTACCTGACATGGACAGCTAGATTTTTAATGTTAAATCGAATATTTACAAACTCGTATGACCTCAATTAACTAATGCACACAAGTCTAACCAATGTTCCAAAATTCAGAAATCTTTAGATGTTTAATATTAATTGTAGTTTTAGGATTTATAATTCAGAAATTTGTTAATTGATTTCTTTTCTTCTACTGTTGTTTGTTTTGCCGTTGGTGGCATACGAGTTTGCACTCGACGCTGTATGTCAATAGAGCAGTGCACGGCCACTAACCTCACTTTTTGGTGCCAATCATTTTGTCTCTGAGTAAAAGAGATGACAACGAATGGGATCCAAAACAAACCACCCAAAGCTAGCAAAATTTACGGGTGAGAGAAGAGTGCAGCAAATCTTCGTGCACTGATCTATATACATCAACATCGGTTACACCTGATTCGATCAAAGGGCCGATCACTCAAATTCCGCAACACCCCGACCCATAATGCCTTGCCCTTGGATGGCCTTACTGCTATCCATGCCGTCCAGCAAGGCTACTTTGATCGGTGGTCTTAGAAGTATTCCCAACGATGTTTGAACATCGACCCTTCTCATCTGACCGTCCTTTCCTGGGTAGGTCTTAACAATACGGCTTCGTAACCATCCGTTACGAACTCATTCATCTACAACTATAGCAGGATCTCTTCCTGTTGAATGGCACCATTGGCGATGGGCTCTACCACATTTGATAGCTGAAAGCAGCATCATCAAAATGCCCCTCGGTTCCACGGTAACGATGCGATCCACAACTGAACTGCCATCAAGAAGTAGTGCACTGTAATCACACAATGTTTTTAAAAAAGTGGACAACTTTATTTTCAATTTTTTACAATCAAAATCATCAACAAACCCTAGGAATTCTAAAGGTACTCCAATTTTTGAAGAAATTCATTAAGAAATGGCTAAGTTGTATCATTGCAAACTTGCGGTTACACGTTTCTCGGAGGCTTTTTTTTTCCTCTGTTCGGGACCTAACACTACTGCGACCAGTAAAATGATCTATTGTAGTATATCCCGTGTCATTAGTTTAGTGCATGTCATATTACTCCATCACTATTGAGAAATGATGAAGTATTCGATTTTTTTACAGTTGCCTCTCTTGCATTTATCGCAAAGATCCGATTCTAATTGAAAGGTCCCGCTATTTATACCCTTCGGAGTGTTGAAACACCCTCCAAAGGCGCGCCCCTTTGTCAGTCAAAATTGGATTCCTTAGCAACAAAATTAAAGTATGACACCGATAATAACCATGCATCAGAACCCTAGTCTTAACCACTTCAAACTAGGGAATAACGAATAGAAGATTAGGAATCACATAGATGAAGACAACTAACTCATTTTTTCCCTTGTTTCAAGATCATCCTCGGTAGACAAAGCCGAGTCTTGTCACTATCAACAAGACATAAAAAGTAACAAGGACTAAGATGTGTTCCTTGGATTACTGAAAAATCCGTTCCCCTAGTCTGAAGTAGTCAGGACTAGGAATCGGTGGTAGATCTTACATCCCGTAACGTACCACGAAAAGGTGATCTACCCACGTTACGGGGCATGTTTCGGATGCTTGGTAGTCGACGTAAAGTTTTTTACCCACCGTATTCGGAGTGTTAACAATATTTCTTATGATTAAAGTTAGTAGAACGGGCCGATTACTCACGACTTACGCGAAGTTAAGGACTACAATTACAAACAGGTTGGAAGTGGACTTGGGAGGAGGTACATGGGGGTGAATTGTCGTTTTAATCTCCGTCACCGTTGCATCGGTGAATAAACGTAGAGGAAGCACTGCGGTGGCGTACAAGTACACTCTAATCCATGGTTTGTTCGACACATGTGGGAGAATAGAATGCAGCCACCTTCCCAAATCACCATCATTCCACTTTTGTTGCCAGTTGGTGAGGACTTGCTGACGAGTAATTGAAAAAAATTCACTTAAAGCGATTGTCGCTCGAAAATATCACCTTTCATAGCGCCCACCTTACCCAGTGAGTCCGCTTTCTTGTTACCTGGAATAGAGCAATGAGAAGGAACCCAAACCAAGGTGATAGTGTAGGAGCAATAAGATAAAGCCCTCAGGATAGATCGTATTCCTAACAGGAACTACGACGAGTGCTTCATCGGCCTCATTGAACGAATAGCCTCCAGTGAGCTTAGGCTGTCCGTTAGGGTTCCCAGAAAAATGTCCCCCACTCCGTAACGGATCCAATTGATCCCTATGCCAAACTGAGACTCTGATACAAATTTGAGCGACAGTGATAGCAGGTGAAATCTTTCCGCCATCATCTAAAACATCACTTAGACTGACGTCTACCAACCGGTGGAAACTAACGATTTTAAATTGGCTCACTACTTGACTAGCCTATTGGTTCCAAGCAAATCGATTTACGACCCCATTTGCTAAAATACCTGGTAGTGACGATCGACGACCTGCTAAAATTCAACAGCTACGTCGACATCGAGAATCACCGCCTTCAACGCGGAGTGTGAATCATGCCGAACAACTCTGGATCAAGCAATAGCAAGAGGCGTCCCCTGGCTAGTGTATCTACGTCGATACTGATGTACGGAGGTTCAGCCTGGGTTGCAGCGCTGGAAACCATGCAGAATCTAAGGAAAATGAATAGTACGTAGTCGTGAGTGCGTACAGAACCATCTCGTTGGAGCTAGTATGCGTCATCGCCGCAATGATCCCTATCGGCATTACCGTTGTGGAA